CTGGCTTCATAATACCCAGTGCCTACACATTGTGGGATTGGTTCTCTACCATAAGCCGATCGCCCGACTCGCGGCCTTGAAAACAAACTCATTTGTTTTTTAAGGCCACTGTCGGCTTCGTTCGGTGTGTATCACGGCGGTCGCTTTTCGCCCTCAGTTTGACTAGCCCCACCTACCAAACACAACCGAACCTATCGAAGTCTGGTGGTGTTTCCAATATTCTCTTTACCCCATTTGCATTCTTCTCATCATAAAATATTTACAGTTTTCGTTCCTCCAGATTACGTAGTAGTATTGTCAAAAAGACGAACAATATGCGAGGCATCGCGGTAAATCAGGCGCTCGTCAAAATAATGAAATTCGAGAAATCTGCATTTTCCGGCCAGTTTGGAATTTTTTTTTTTTTTTTTTTTTGACACATCACTTAGTATGTCTATTCAAAACACTTTTATTTGTGGATTTTATGGAAAAACGTTGATTAAAGGCATAACAAATGTAAATTTACAGTTTCCAAGGACTCTTAAGCTATGGAAGTCACCAAACTATGGCGGCCATTTTTTCGCTAATTTTACCTCTGAAACCAGGCGACCCTTCCTCCTTCAATTGCAAATATCTGACTTCCATTCAAAATAAATGGATACTTTTTTCATCGAAACCAAGGCAAATAAACAACCTTCGCGATGACACCAATAACTCCATATGCCCAAAAATTGACGAGCGCCTATTCCACTGCGCTGTGACTCATATAATGTGCGTCTAGAAACTCATTATCTCCCGCCTTTTCTTAGCAACGACAGGCCTATGTTGTGCAGTCCTTAGGTACTTTGCTATCTTTCTCAGAAGACCGGACTTCAATTCCTGAGTGGAGAGAAAACATTTTTATCGAGTATCTCGGTCTTTCTGTTAGGATGTTGTGTCATTCTCAGCCCACGTTGGCCCTGATAGACAGGGTCTAGGTTTTTAAAAAGTTTTAGTAAGAGTTTTACGGCACTTGCAGCTCAATAAGGTCATATAAGTGCCGAAGATTAGAGCTGTTACAAGAGAGTAACAAACGTAAAAAGGAGGAGAGATCAGGATGAAAGATGTTTGATAGGAAAGAAGGAGCAAGGGTCGGGTGTCTGCATCCTAAATTATCTAAATTGTATTGATGGAGGCTTAAAACTCCTACATTTTTAAAATGATTTATATCCTTCCTCAGCTAGGGACTGGCAGTATATCGCCGCTGGTTTCGCAATCTGTGGATTGTTCCTGGGCGTGGTGGCCTTTGTAGACGGCGTGCTGGTCATGTGTGTCCGGAAGTTCATGGGGAACAAGAAAATTCAAATAGTCCAAACAGTCCTCAATTTTCTCACAGGTGAGCAATCTCTTGACTGTGTGTGTCTCTGGTTTATAAAACAAAGTCCTCAATATTCTAGCAGGTGAATAATCACTCGACTGCATGTCTATAGTTTACAGAATAATAAATGAGAAATTTCTTGACTGTATTTCTTTAGTTTGTAGAATACATTGTTCTTTTTTTATCACTGATAACTGTATGTCTCTGGTTTATATTACAAAGTGCTCAATATTCTAACTGGTGAGCAATGTCTCTGGCTTATAGAATAAAGTGTTCTTTTACCCACTGGTAAGCAACCTTTTGACTGCATGTCTCCGGTTTATAGAACAAAGTGCTCAAATCAATCTAATTTATAGTAAAATAAGTGAGAAATATCTTAACTTTACTTCTCTAATTTATAGACTAAAGTATTCTTTTACCCTCTGGAAAGCAATCTCTTGATTGTACGTTTCTGGTTATAGAGCAAAGTGCTCAATATTCCCACTACTGAGCTGCTACTCGAAAACGCTGACGTTTACCCGTTAGCTAAGCCTAACAGTTTTCGCTTAGCGTGCAGTTTTTTTCTCTTTGAAATCACTGCCGACTTGCATAAATCTTACTATCAATTTCTATCGCGGTGTAGGCCTGAAACCATTGTGATATCAAGTGTTTAGAACAATGAGTGAACAAGAGCTATTATCACGTACCAACATGTTGGCCTACAATGAGGTGGGATGGAACTCTCTCTCTCTCTCTCTCTCTCTCTCC